AACTTGCACTGACAAGGGGCAGGCTTGCTTTCTAATTACTGAGAGAGTTCAGCTGGTGTCACCACATTATTACAAATAACTTCATTTCTGGACATTTATGGTTTGATTTCTTTGTATGTATGGATCACTTGGGTTTCTACCAACATCTAGTGAAAATTTCATGTCATTAGCACCTCTAGTAATATATTTACTGAGAAAAATGTTGACGTGTTCAATACTTATTTTACCCGCTGTAAATATACGATCTTCTTGTTGAGGATTCCCTCATTTTGATACATGAACACAGACGGAAGATTTAACTGTTTTGAAGCAAGGTTAGTTTTGTCTCAGCATAACATCTGAGTGGAATTTTAGAATGGTGCTTGCATTTCTGCCCTAAATACACTGCTGAGCTTCTTATTTTATTTGTGTAAGCAATGCTTGACCTTAAGATACACACAAGATCTTTTTTTTTTTTTTTTTTACATTTTTAAAATATCATATATTATTGCATATCAATGTGTCTTTAGAAACTTAAAATTTGGGCTCAGTAATGTTACAGATCTATTCTATTGTCATTATTCTGCTCTGTATTAATGTTACATAAGTGGTGTTTTGCAAGGGGTATATGGTGATGGTTTCAGACTCCTGGATGGCACACCTGATTTGTGTCTCTAGACTGCTTTATATTCTGAACCTGACTATTTACTCTGTTGAAACATATTTGTTTCACATTGTTTTTGTAGCTCTAGTAGTTAATTGTTTTCTTTATCATAAGTGTCAGGGTTATGTCTGTTTCACTTCAATCATACTTTTGGTGCCATCACTCGTTACCTCTCTCCTGGCCTTGGAAAGAGGAGTACATTAAGTTTGTGGGTGTTTGCTCGTTTTTACAATACTAGCTTGAAAGGAGGTGGTGTTTTTGAAATGCTATGCTGAGGGAGAGGATAGAAAAGACTTGCTGCCCAGCAAAGATGCAATCAAGAAGCTCTTATGTTTCACTTCCCTAGATGCTCTTTATTGTTGTGAGCTTATCTGATCTGTCTTTCCTTTGCTCTTAAGGGTATAGGTTTAACAGTGACAACATCAGACTTGAGTGCTTGAAGTTCCTAAAAGTTACATAAAGGTTAGTAATTTGTGAGCTTAACTCATGTATGGTCAGTTTTAAGGCAAATATAATTTAACAGAGGAATATTAATTTGTTGGAGTATCTGCAGCTACATGACTTTCTTTGTAAGTTAAATAACTTATGAAGATAATTGAGTGTAGTATTCAGGTTCACTTGTGTCTGTAGTTGATTTTTCAGTTGTTCATATCACTTCGACACTACATGTCACATATTTTTTCTTTAGCATTTTGATCAGTTTTGATGTAGTATTTATTGTGGCCATAAATATAAACTTTAGCATTTCCCCAACTATTATCCAAGGAAGGCAGTCCACCCTGTCATAAAGATTATAGGATGTAATAATACAGGTGCTGGTCATAAAATTAGAATATCATGAAAAAGTAGATTTATTTCAGTAATTCCATTTAAAAAGTGAAACTTGTATAATATATTCATACATTACATACAAACTCATATATTTCAAATGTTTATTT